CCCACATCCCCTCCAACATTTGGCATCATTTGTTCTCTTGATCTTAGCCAGTCTGACTGGGGTAAAATGAAATCTTAAAGGGTTGATGTTTTGCATTTCCCTAATTATTAGTGCTGTTGAACATCTTTTAAGACGTTTTGTAGCCATCTTTACTTCTTTTGAGAACTCTTTTCAGCTCCTTAGCCCATCTTTTAATTGGGTTACTTCTTGTCTTGATTCTGTTTTTTGAGTTCATTATATATTTTGGATATAAAACCTCTGTCAGATGTGTCGCTGGTGAAGATTTTCTCCCATTCTGTGGGTTTTCTGTTCGCTTCCCTGGTTGCCTCCTTTGATGTACAGAAGCTTTTTAGTTTAATGAGGTCCCATTTGTTTCTTGACCTTATTTCCTGAGCAGTCCCTGTCCAGTTTAGAAAATCTTTTCCTACACCTATATCTTGTAGGTTATTGCCAATGTTTTCTTCTAACAGTTTCAGAGTTTGAGGCTTCACATTCAGGTCTTTGACATATTTGGAGTTGACTTTTGTGCAAGGTGAAAGATAGGGGTTTAGTTTCATTCTTCTACAGGTGGAGATGCAGTTTTGCCAGCACCATTTGCTGAACATGCTGTCTTTTTTCCAGTGAATATTCTTGGCCCCTGTGGGAGACAGGCTTGAGCGGTTTCCAGGAATCCAGGCTCTGTGATCTGAAACCCAATATGCTAATGAGGCATCCTACCCACTATTCTGTGATAGGACATTAAGTCTGTTATGCTAATAGTATGCTAAGTCTGTTATGCTAATATGGTATCCTACTTGCTGTGCTGTGATTGGACCACTACCCCTATATAAGCTTGTGCCTTCCTGCAATAAACCAGACCCGTGTCACTGAACCTGGTCTCCTGTGTCTGAATGAGGCTCCGCTGACACAGTCTCCTTGCCAGTCCTGGGGTCCAGGACCGGGCAGAAGCAGTGACGACAGGAGGCAGCACAGGGCAAGCAAAAGAGCTGCCTCAGCACCAGGCAAGCAGAAGAGCGGCCTCAGCCCAGGGCAGGCAGAAGAGCAGCCTCAGTCCAGGGTGAGCAGAGGAGCAGCCTTGACACCTGTGAGAATGAAGGAGCAGCACCC